TTAAATCTGTAGATGGAAAACTATTGGTGGAGAGCAGATTAGTTGTTCTTAAAAAAACATTTTCCCGCCATTTCTGGAAAGAAGTCGTGGATGCAGTAAGAAGAATTGGAGAGGAACAAGAGCCTTTTGAACAGCCATCCCCAAACCCTGAAGCGGGGCTCGTTTCCATCAGAGACCAGAGAGGAAAGTCTTGCCTAAGCCCAACTCCTGCAGTCTTCCCCATCTGGAGTGGACTGAGGGCGTCCACTCTAGCTCTAGAACAAGCTGGGCTCCCAAGGGTTTCTCAGAAAAACACTCAATTAGTTGTTCCACTCTAAAGACATTGAACAATTTTTGAAACCAGGAGAGGTCAGGGAGAAGCTGAAGCACATGGCCAGAACTCTCTCCTGAATCAAAGGCAGGAGGTTAGTAAATACCATTTCCCAGATCTCTGTTATAGGACATGGATGCTCCATTGGAGTGGGTGGCAGGGCTGTGAATATCAATCAAGAGGGATATAAATATATATCAATTTATAGGAATCAACATTCAAAAATGTCCCCCTACCCTAACCCAGGAAAGTTCTAATTCAAAGCAGTGTTTTGAAGAAAACATGTGTACATCTTCGTAATCTTTGATTAGGTAATGATTTCTTAGATAAGACAGCTAAAGCAAAAACAACTAATGAATAAGTAGATTGATTGGACTTCATCAAAATTAAAATTTTTTGTGCTTCAAAGGATGCTAACAAGGAAGTGAAAAGACAACCCACAGAATCAGAGAAGATAGCTGAAAAACGTGTATCCAACAAGTGTCTAGTATCCAGAATATATAACGAACTCTCACAACTCAACAGTAAAAAGACAAATGATCTAGTATATGAATGGAAAAAGGGTTTGAACAGACATTTCTCCACAGAAGACGCACAAATGGCCAATAAGAACATGAAAAGATGCTCAACATCATTAGTCACTAAGTAAATAGAAATCAAACCCATAATGAGATACCACTTCACATCCACTAGTATGGCTGTAATGAAAAGACAGGCAATAATAAGTGTTGAGGAGGATGTGGAGAAATTGGAATCCTCATGCATTGCTAATGGGAAGGTAAAATGGTGCAACTGCTTTGGAAAAAAGTTTATCAGTTCCTCAAAGTTAAACGTAGAGCTGATGTAGACATAGCAATTCCACTCCTGGGTGTATGTCCAAGAGAACTGAAAACATATGGTCAAAAACAAACATGTACATGAACGTTCATAGCAGCATTATTCATAGTAGCCAAAAGTAGAAACAATCCAAATATCCATCAAGTGATGAACAAACGAAATGTAGTATAGTCATAAAATGAAATACTATTCCAGCATGAAAATAATGAAGTACTGATACATGCCAAATCATGGATGAACCTTGAAAACGTTATGCTAAGTGCAGAAGCCAGACACCAAAGATCACATGTTGTATGGCTCTATTTAGAAGAAACATGCAGATTAGGCAAGTCTGTAGAGAGAGAAAGTAGGTTAGTGGCTGCCAAGGGCTGGGAGGAGTGGGGAATAGGGAGTGTCTGCCAACAGGTATGGCACTTCTGTTTTGAGGTAATGAAACTATTCAGGAATTAGATAGTGGTGATGCTTTCACAACCTTGCAAATCGACTAGAAGTCACAAAATGGTGAATTGTACAGTTTATGAATTATGACTTTGCACATTCTCATGCCCTGTATTTTCACTAAACATTGTGTCTCAAGTAGCCAGTGGCCAAAATAGGATGCTGTTAGCCTGTTGTGAAAAACATACTGGATGAAAAAATTAAATTCAGGAAGTTTTCAGTCGAAATGAAGTATAGGCAAAGGATGCACCTCCTAGGGAAGACCTGACACGAGAGTGAGCTGGAAAATGTGGGTTGGGCTTTGGGGGAAAAGGGGGACTCTACCTGACACCTGGCTCCAGCCCTTACAGCCAGGAGACCTTGGGCCAGTTACAGACTCTCTCTGTGCCTTGGTTTCTTCATCTGCAAACCAGGGAAATGTAACGCTTTCCTCACAAGTCGATGGTGAAGGTTAGAATTAATAATGTGTCTGAAATAATCATCCCCAAACTGTGAGGAAGGTCGATGACATCAGTGGGCCCTAAACCTGTTTCGCATCTGAGTAACTTCAGCAAATACATTCCATGCCCCACCTCCGCCCATTGAATCAGAATGGCTACAAGTGAGGACTGTGAACTTGATTTGCACTAACCCTCCCAGATGATTCTTATAATGATTCCCTCCTGGGGTGGGAAGCACTGAGCTGTGTAACTTTTACCCAAAAGACAAAAGTGGGACAGAGAAGAACCACAAGGACATTTCCAATCCATTCTCTAAAGCAGAGGAGGAACTGTTGGAGGACCCTAGAATGGAAAGGGACCTGGCGCGCCTGACCCCGTTTTAACCTCATCCAGTTTACAGCAGACACACAAGCCTTTGGGGACATACGCCTGAGGTGCCTGACAGTCCACCTTGAAAACAGTGAAAGCCTTCATTTCAAATTCTAGCTTGCTTTCAATGGAAGTTAAATTTACCCTTTTTTGCTCATTGAAGGGAGCAAAGACTCCTTCTCCAAGACTCCTACCTTACAAAAATTCATCATATTGCTATTAATTCCAACTTCAACAGAGATATTTAAGTAAGAAAGACGCAGAAATAGTCTAGCCACTTAAGAAACCAGAACATTAGCAAGACCATTCAAGTTCAGGACAGTTCAGCCCAACAGATCACAGTAACTGAGACATCACTCCTGAGTTACAGGGAGGTCATCCCTTCCTGTCATTTGACATCATGCCGACTCTAATGAGGTGGGAAAGCAGCTACCCATTCTCAGATATGGGTTGCTCTTGCCTCCAGACTGTGTCTGACGTCCTGACACCATAAGCAGTTCAGGGAGACTGTGGAAGAGCCCAGCCGTCACTTCTGCTATTGGACGTGCATGGAGCTGGGTTAGTAGAACAAGGGAGCGCTCTAGAAGCAAAGCTATATCACAGAGAGAGAAAAAGAACAGCAGTAAATGGGACAAATGCAGGACAAAGACAAAACAGATTTCTCTTACTGTGGCAAAACACAAGGTGATCACTTACTTGCTCTTATAATAAAAAGTGTTTTTTCTGTTTTTAATTTGGCTAAATAAATTTAATGTCCCTCTTCTGGTTTCTTACTTTACTTCTGGACCACAGTATTACTTCAAATGATTATGATGAAAATAAAATGCCATCGTATGCATATTGTGCTTAGCAAAATGCCTGGCACCATATCATTCAATGAACTATTACTGTTATTATGATTACTATAATCAGCACTGCAAAAAACACACCCCTGTGTGACTTCCAGTAACTCATGTAACTTTTGCAAGCCTTCAGTTTCATCATTTTTTAAAGTGACGGAACTTGACAAGTTTTTGTTTCTCCCAAAGAATGTCAGGTCCCAGAGACACCAGAAAATAGGTTTCTTTAAAGCCTTTGATGGATCTCACACATCAATATCATTACACGATGTCATTGGAGGATGGCATGGAGCGGGGAGAAGATACACTTCAAAAGTGGTTCACTTTGACATGAATGCTGGGGGGTACCTGGTCACACCAGTTGCACCCTCAACTCAGACAAGTCCAGGAGCTAAACTGAAGAGACCACTAAACTGGAGAGACTGCTACAAGGGGTCTCCCAAGTCTCAGCCTCACAAGACCCAGTTGGGATCAGATGCTGAAGAAGTAAGGAGGGGCTCCGGGCATCATTTTCCCCTGCCTGCCTCTCCTTCTCTTCTAAACCTCAGCTTCTACGTCACGGAACCCTGTTGCACATGTACACTACGGATCATCGACCATCCCGGACCCCTGACTTTGAACTGACCGTGTTCTGTTAGTGGAATACAACTACAGATCAGTGGCATGAGGACAAGTCAAAGAGATCTATCAAGCAATGTCCCATAAACACTGCTCTTGATCCCTGTCTGTGCAATATGTGAGTGAACTGAATGACAGGAAAAATAGCATCAGGTTTGCAAGTCTTTGCAAAATAGATGGTCACTACATGTCTTCAAGGATACATACCTAAACTATTTTAATCATTTTGACAGCTTGGAAAGAACACTTTGGGACTAGAATGAACTCTGTAAGTGACAAATATGAAATACAGTGTTTAGGTACATTAAAAAAAGAAAGCAAGCACCTGACATATAGGAGTTTAGGAGGTAGGGATGTCACTTGACTTGAGTTTAATGAAAAGCCAACATGCTGTGCCACTGATGGATAAGAAGCTGACGGAACACAGGGATGCAGCAAGAAGGATATTGAGAGAGTCAGGACAGAAAACATTTTTGTAAATTCATTATTCATTCTGTTAGCCTGATACTTTGCTTTTTTCATGCACTTTTTAACAGATATAGAAAAGACTGAAGAATTCCCAGAGAAGAACATCATGAGAGTCTAAAAGTTTGACAATTTTCACTGGTGGAAAACACTTCAGATCTGTTTTAATTAAAGGGAAAGGTGGGGTGATTTCATGACAGCCCTTAAGAAAATAAAACTTGTTGGGAAACTATTTCTGCCTTGATGTTTTTATAAACACAAGAACGAACAGTGGGAAATTATTATGCTTAGATATGTCTCGGAAAAAGATAGGTCGGTGGTATCAGCACAAGCGTAGACAACTCCTGAGAGTGGCTGCTGAGGGGTGGCCTCATCAGTGGTGACTTTCAGAAGAGACCAGGTGGCCTAGTGTATCATCACGGCCTAGGCAACTGGAAGGCAGGGGCTTCTAAGATTCCATGACACCCCCCACCTTCCAGTTCTGTTATTGCAACTCCAGACTGTTACCTGGCACGCTGGGTCCTCCCTCCGTCACTCATGTTGGAGTGTGAGCTAGAGGCAGTGCCTTTGGCTCTGAGCTCTGGCGTCTTGAACCTTGTTTTGGGGGTTACAGACTCGCTAGTGTTGTGGGGTGTTGATCAACTTGTTCCCGACAGTAAGTTAAGAATTCCTGGATCATACCCCTCAGTCCTCATTAAACCTATTTGCTTTCACTTGTTTTTAACCCATTCTGTGTTTGGGTCTCTTCTCCCCAGTCCCTGCCCTACCTCTTCTGCCCCACGTCACCATGGCAGTTTCTCTTGGCCCTGTGTCTGATCCGGGGGCCGAAATGACCCTCCTGGAAATCAACCAGGAGCTTCAGTCTCAGCTGGAACAAAGCAAACAGGACTTTCGAGACCTCAAAGAGAAGTTCCTTGTCTCTGAGTCCACCACCTACATCCTGGCCAACGAGCTGCAAAAATACAGTAAGTCCTACAGGGTCATGGTCACCAGAGTGATGAGTGACCACTGTGCTCCCTCTAAGAAACTAGAAACTCTCCATACCTTTTCTTCTGTTCCCTGAGGCAAAATAAATTTAATTCTGACCACAATCCAGGAAAGGTACAAGTGGGTTTTTACCCTCAGTTTGCTGAGCATGGACAAACCGAGGCCCAAAGAGTTGAGGGACTTTTCCAGGTTGGCAGTGAGGTGTAGGTGGGATTAGCGTTAAAATCCCAGTGATTGATTCCTGGTACAGGGACAGAACTGCATGTTTCCCTCAGCATCCACTCTGTACGGAATCAGATCCTGCATCACTGTTGGCCTAAATGTCCGGGATTAATGAGCTCCATCAGTTCAGGCTTCTCTGAGGTCCCACTAGCAAAGCTCTGTGCTCCTTACACTGGGGAGACGGGGTGATGGTACCCACTGGGGGAAGCAGGTGATAGAACCTGCATTACAGGAGCCTGAACATGAGTGTGCTCCTCACTGACACTGTGGTATCCGTGAGTGATGCCATCAAGACAGAGACGACCCTGCTGAGTGGGAAGCTGTGCTTCCTGAGCACAGGCTTTTGTTTCTGAGTCCAAGGAAGCCACTTTGCCTCTTGTGGTGAGGTAGAGGGTGTTTCTGGGGAAATGAGAGAATCCATACCTCCTCTTCTGTGTCTCTCTGAGCTGGTGAACCTTTGGTGATGCAGGACTGCCAGCAGGTCTGGGTGACCTTGAGGGTCTGGGCTGTGAGACTTGTGCCCAAAGTCAGAATGATGGTAAGTGGGGGTGGCCACCAGCCCCAGTGAAAACTCAAGCCAGTGTCTGGGGCAGGCCCTTCCCTTCCACAGTCAGCCTCGCAATTGGAAGCTCAAGCACCTGTTCAGTAAGAGGGGGCTGTAGTGACGAAAGGGATCGTGAGAACGGGGGCACGTGCGCAACAGAATGGTTGATTAGAAGGAACCTTGACGACTCTGAGCCTGAATCGGTGTCATTTTCCAACAAACCATTGTAGGAGGGGTTAAATTAAAATAACTGACAGAAAAGTAAAAATTGAAGCCTGCTATTTAAGAAAATGAAGAGATGAGGTTTTGAGAAAGGACAGACTAAGTTTTATTTACATCTTTTTTTTACAATCGTAACTTAACTGTAGAAACAAATTTTGAAGATGATGAGGAAGAAAGATGTCACCCAAGATCTTCGTGTCAAGGTAACACAGTGCAGTGGTGAAGAGCGTGGACACCGGTCCCGTCTTCCTGGGCTCAGATCTAAGCTGTGGATCTTTCTGTGCCTCAGTTTCCTCCTCCGTTAATATGGCGCTGTCATAGTGCCTACTTCTTTGAGTGACAGCAGTGAATTACATGAGTTATTTCTTTAAAGTTCCTAAAGCAGTTCTTTGCACAGATTAAACACTATTTATTAGTTCTTCCTTCTACTATTTTTAATTTAAAACAATTTTTTTTTTTGAGGAAGATTAGCCCTGAGCTAACATCTGTGCCCGTTTTCCTCTATTTTATATGTGGGACGCCAGCCACAGCATGGCTTGATAAGCAGTGGGTAGGTCCACGCCCAGGATCTGAACTGGTGAACCCTGGGCCACAGAAGCAGAGCATGAGAACTTAACCACTACCCCACTGGCCCGGCCCCTAAAACAAATTTTGTTAGAGTCTGTGCATATTTCCTTCACGGATGTATGGTTATGCATTATACTTTACAGAACCATATTCTCAAAAATTATTTTATCCTTAAGGTACTTGAGCTCAGGGGAACCAACAGTCAGTAGGCCTAGGGGCCTTCCCGAGCACACAGGGATCGCTACTTCATGCCTCTGCTTAGTGTTTTACTCAAGAGGCTGCAAGTCTTGGTAAAGTGGCCCAGGACTCAGGGTCAGTCTCAGGGGATGTGAATTCTGACCTTGCCAAACACCAGCTAATCTTGTCTGGTCACTTTCTCTTCCTTGGAGCTTCTCTTTGCTCAGCTCTCAAATGAGGAGTGACCAAATGCCATGTATTTGGGAGGCTGAGCAATAGGATGTGGAAATCTCAGTGGAGAGCCTGGTGCTGGGGTTATATCTCCCTCTGAGAGAAGATGGAGCCTGCCTCCTCCCTTGCAGGCAGTGACCACAGCAGCATGGCCAGCTTTCCACTGAGGCCGGCCTCTCTCTTTCCTCAGAGTGTGGAGCGTGCAAAGACATCATTGAATCAGTGCTGGGGGAGAAGCTGCAGTTCCAGGAGGGGAAGCTGACAGAGAAGCCAATGTTAGCGGAGAAGCTCAAGTGAGGGGGGCTCTGTGCTGGGCGTCTGGTGGGAAGTTGTAGGAATCTCTGAAGGGGGCAAGGAGCAATGCTGGGCCAGGGGAAGGGCAGAATTTTTTATGGCAGCCATATGCGTACGAATATGAATAACACAATTAGAGAACAATAATTGGTAAATTATGGACTCCAATTACTCAAAGGCTCCTTGACTCTTTTTTTTAAAATAAAATTTATTGAGGTGAAATTCACATAACGTAAAGTTGACCAAATTCAAGTGAACCATTCAGTGGCACTTAGGACATTCACGATATGCAACACCACCATCATAAACCTTTCTTTTTTTTAAATGTGTTTATTTATTTGTTTGTTTTATTGTGGTAACATTGGTTTACAACATTATACAAATTTCAGGTATATATTGTTATACATTTCGATTTCTGTGTAGACAACATCATGTTCAGTTACCATCTATCACCACACACAGGTACCTAATCACCCTGCTCCCCCTCTTTCCTCCCCCCTCTCCATCTGGTAACCAACAATCCAACGCCTGTCTCTATGTGTTTGTCATTGTTTTTATCTTCTACTTATGAGTGAGATCATACTGTATTTGACTTTCTCCCTCTGACTTATTTCACACAATCACCTCCTGGCTGACTACAGCTTATCCTCCTTTCTTTCAACAAAAAGCTGTCATTCTAAAGTTTTTGAGAAACCTCCATAGTGTTTTCCACAGTGGCTGCACCAATTTGCCTTCCCACCAACAGTATACGAGGGTTTCCTTTTCTCCACCCGTATGTGGAATCTATAAAACAAAACAAAACAAACAGACTCATAGACACAGGGAACAAACTGGTGGTTACCAGAGTGGGGAGGGGTCTGGGGCGGGTAAAATGGATGAAAGCGATTAAGAGGTACAGACTTCCAGTTATAAAATCAATAAGTCATGGGGATGCAAAGTAGAGCATAGGGAATATAGTCCATAATATTGTAATAACTTTTTATGGTGATAGATGGTAGATAGACTTATCATGGTGATCATTTCATAATGTGTATGAACATTGAATCGCTATGACGTACGCCTGAAATTAATGGGATATTGCATATCAATGATAATCTAAATTTTTTTTAAAAAAATGCTGTCTCCTTGGCACTGTCCTTCTTGTGTTCTTTCCAGTTAGCTCCAGCTGTACCTGTCCACATTTTTGTGTCTGGTTCGGCGTCCATTAACTAACTAAGGCACTATGTGTATTTTTCCATGGAAACGGACATGGCCATTCAGTAAGGAACTGAAGGGACATCTTTCTAAAGCAGGTTTAGGGAGACATTTGGTTTTGTTGAAAGAAGAAAACAATGAATGGCCTGGCAAGGGATCCTACAGGAGCAGTTTCTGATACAGACGAAGCCTTGGTTTTACCTTCTTCTTTCTCTTTGCCACAGGCAGGTCAGCACACATGTGCCCGAATTGTGCTTCAAGGGCTCCTCGGGGGATGTTCTCACTGAAATCTCTATTAAAACTTGTATAATCTGTGGTTCAACTCTGCATTTTTTAAATGGTCTCTTCTGTGCCACCCTAGGAAATGTCATGTCCTAATCCAAGATCAGGCTCAAGAGCTGGCCCAGTTACGGCAAACGGTAGAGGAAGGCAAAGAAGTTTCTGTGCTCCTCAAGTACCACTTCACCCACAGGGACCCTGCCGCCTACCAGGGGCAGGGCTTCCAAGACCAACTGGCTAAGGGACGCAGGCTGGTGGAGCGCCTTGCCCAAAAGCTCAGCCCAGGTAAGGCAGTCATGTGCCCTGATTGCACTGAGCTGCTCCAAGAGATTCCACTCACAAGGGATATTTTTCAACCAGTTGTTCTGGTTTCCATGTCATATTTGGGGCCATAACAGGGCCAGCACTGGCAGGTGAGAACAGAGAGGAGAAATGCACTGGGCCACAGGCCATAGTGATCCAACTGTCTGCTTCCTCCCTGATGGACAGTGAATCACATTAATGGATTTTTGAATGTTGAACCTCCTTTGCATACCTGGAATCAATCTCACTTGGCTGTGGTATATAATTCTTCATATACTTTGTTGCATTCAATTTGTCAAATTTTGTTGATGATTTCTTCGCCTGTGTTTGTGAGACTTAATTGGCCTGTAATTTTCCTTTTTGTAACGTCTTTGTCTGGTTTTAGTATTAGGATAATGCTGACTTCATAGAACGTGTTAGGATTATTCCCTCTCTTTCTATTTCCTGGAAGAGATTGTAGAGAACTGGCCTAATTTCTTCCTTAAATGTTTGATAGAATTCACCAGTGAATTTATCTGGGCCTTGTGCTTTCTGTTTTGGAAGGTTCTTAATTATTGTTTCAATTTCTGTAGTAGATATAAGCCTATTCAGATGCTCTATTTCTCCATGCCTGAGTTTTGGTAGATTGTGTGTTTCAAGTAGTGGCTCTGTTTCAAATTTTAGGGCACAGATTGGCTCCTAACATTCCTTTATTACCCATTTGATGTCTGTGGGATCAGTAGTGCCGGTCCCTCTTTCACTTCTCATATGAGTAATTTGTATCTTCTCTCTTTTTTCTTAGTTAATCTGGCTAGAGGTTTATCAGTTTTATTGGGCATTTCTAAGAATGTGCTTCTGGGTTTGTTGATTTTCTCTGTTGATTTCCTGTTTTCAATTTCATTGATTTCTGCTCTAATTTTTATGACTGTTTTCTTCTGCTTGCATTGGGCTTAATTTGTTCTTCTTTTTCTAGTATTCTAGGATGGAAGCCTAGATTATTGCCTTTAGATCCTTCTTTTCTAATATATGCAATACGATGCCATAAATTTCCCTGTAAGCACTGCTTTTGCTGCATTCCACAAATTTTGATTGTATTTTCATTTTCGTTCAGTTCAAAATATTTTTAGTTTTTTCTTAGGACTTCTTCTTTGACCAGTGTGTTGCTTAGCAGCCTATTGTTTCATCTACATCTGTATTTTGGAGTGTTGCAGCTATCTTTTTGTTATTGATTTCTAGTGTAATTCCATTGTGGTTTGAGAGCATGTTTTGTATATTTTCTATTTTAAATGTGTTAATGTGTGTTTTAATGGCCCAGACGGGGCCTACCTTAGCGAATGTTCCATGTGAGCTTGAGAAGAATGTGTGTTCAGCGCTTGTTTGATGAAGCGTTCTACAAATGTCAATTCTATCCAGTTGATTGATGGTGCTGTTTATTCAACTATATGCTTCCTGATTTTCTGCCTGCGGGTTCTGTCTGTTTGTGACAGAGGGGTGTTGAAATATCCCACTGTAATACTGGATTCATCTATTTCTTCTTGTAGTTCTCAGTTTTTGCCTCGTTTATTTTGGCACTCTTCTGCTAGATGCACCTTCAGAATTGTTATGTCTTCTTCGAGAATTGACCCCGTTTTGTTATGTAATACCCCTCTTTATCCCTGATCATTTTCATTGCTCTGAAGTCTGCTTTGTCTGAAATTGATTGAGCTACTGTGGCTTTCTTTTATCAGTGATAGTGTGGTATGTCTTTCTCCATCCTGTTTCTTTTATTATATCTGTGTCTTTTTATTTAAAGGGGATTTCTTATACACAACATCTAATTAAGTCTTATTTTTTCATCCACTCTGACAATCTATCTTTTAATTGGTGCATTTAGACCACTGACTTTGAAGGTTTTTGTTGATGTACTTGGATTAATGTCTACCATATTTGTTACTGTTTTATATTCATTGCTCTTTTTCTTGGTTTCTTTTTTTTTTTTTTTTTTTGTCTTGCACTCTTTTTCTGTCTTCTCTGGTTGTAAAAAAGAATTTTATGTGATTCCAGTGTTTTCTCCTCTCTTGGCACATCAGCTATACTTCTAGTTTTTTTTCTTTCATTTTTTTCAGTGGTTGCTCTGGAGTTTGCCATATACATTTACAAATAACCCAAGCCCTCTTTCAAATAACAATATACTGCTTCATGGCTAACACAAGTGCATTATAACAGAGTATTCCTGATTCATTCCACCCATCCATTAGAGCATTGCTGTCATTCATTTCACTTTTCCATAAGCTTTGATCTCTGAGTACATTATTGCAGCTATTATTTTGAACTGTTATCACATAGATCAATCAAGAATAAGACAAATAAACTGTTTTATTTTAATTTATTCCTTCTCTAATGCTCCTACTTTCTTTGTGTAGATCCCAGTTTCTGACTTACATCATTTTCCTTTGTTCTGAGGAATTTCTTTTGACATTTCTTGCAAGGCAGGTCTACTGGTGACAAAGTCCTCAATTTTTATTTGTCTAGGAAAGTCTGTCTTTTTCTTTCACTTATGAGGGATAAGTTACTGGATACAGAATTCCAGGTTGGTGGGGTTTTTTTCTTAAACTCCCTTCTCTCCTTGCTTGCATGGTTTCAGAAGAGAAGTCTGATAGAATTCTTATCGTTACTCTTCTCTAGGTAAGGTGTTTTCCCCTCTGGCTTCTTTTAAAGTTTTCTTTTGTCTTTGATTTTCTGCAATGGGAATATGATACTCTTTCCTAGGTGTATATTTTTTGGTATTTCCCTGCTTGGCATTCTCTGAGCTTCCTGGATCTGTGGTTTTGTGTCTATAATTAATTGAAGGAAATTCTCAGTCATTATTGCTTCAAATACTCTTTCCGTTTTCTGTCCGTGCTCCTTCTGATATTCCCATTATGCATATTTACACCTCTTGTCCTTGTCCCACAGTTCTTCGAAGTTCAGTTCCTTTTCCTTAATTTTCCTCTTTGAATTTCAGTTTTAGGCATTTCTATTGATATTATTAATGTCTTCTTTAGGTTTGTTAATAGTTGCTTTATGTACTTTGGTGCCCTGTGTTGGGTGCATAGATATTTATAAGTGTTATTTCTTCTTGATGGAATGTCCCTTTGATCATTATATACTGCCCCTCTTTGTCTCTCTTTGTCTGTCTTATCTTGAAGTCTACTTTGTCTGATAAAAGAATTGCAACACCTGCTTTCTTTTGTTTGCCATTATCTTGGACTATCCTCTTCCATCCCTTCACTCTGAGGCTGTGTTTGTCACTGGAGCTTAGATGTGTTTCCTGGAGGAAGCATATTGTTGGGTCTTGTTCTTTAATCCGTCTCACCACTCTGTGTCTTTTTATTGGAGAATTCAATCCATTTACGTTTGGGGTGACTATCGATATATGAGGGCTTAATGCTGCCATTTTATCACTCGTTTTCCAGTTCTCCTGTGTTTCCTTTGTTTCTCATCCTGTGTATTTTGGTCTGCCAATCGAGTTTTGTAGTTTTTAATGTTGTGTTTCTTTGTTTTCTCCTTATTTATTATTTGTGTCTCTGTTCTGCTGCTTTGTTTAGTGGTTACCCTGAGGTTTGTATTCAAGATTTTGTGGATAAGATAGTCCCTGTTCTGATGGCCTCTAATTTCCTTAGACTAAACCAATTCAGTCCCTTTCCTCTTCCCCTCCTAAGTTGTTTTTCTGACATCTTATTCCATCTTGTGTTATGAGTGTGTGGTTAAAATGACAAGATTATCTTTGTTTTTTGGTGTTTTCCTTCCCTTTGCCTTTAATGCTATACATGAGTATTTGGTATCCTGCTCTGATTGTGTCTACCTGTTTAACTCCTTACTCTGTGCTTTGTAACCCTTTCCCCTCCCTGTTTTTTTTCAAGAATGAGGGCCTTCTTAAGGATTTCTTGTAGGGGGAGTCTTGTGGGCACAAACTCCCTTAGCTTATGTTTGTCTGGGAAAGTTTTTATTTCTCCATCATATCTGAAGGATATTTTTGCTGGATAGAGTATTCTTGGCTGAAAGTTTTTGTCCTTCTATGATTTGAATATGCCATTCCAGTCTCTCCTAGCCTGTAAAGTTTCTGCAAGAAATTTGCTGAAAGCCTGATGGGAGTTTCTTTGTAGGTTATTTTCTTCTGCCTTGCTGCTCTGAGTATTCTTTCTCTGTCATTCAGTTTTGCCAGTTTCACTACTATATACCTTGCACTAGGTCTTTTTACATTGACGTATTTAGGAGGTCTGGCAGCCTCTTCCACATGGATTTCCTTCCCTAGGTTTAGGAAGTTCTCTGCTCTTCTTTCTTTGAACAAGCTTTCTGCTCCATTCACCTTCTCTTCTCCTTCTTGAATACCTAGAATTCTTGTTTCATTTCCTAATTGAGTTGGATATTTCTCGGAGACTTTCTTCATTTCTTTTTAGTCTTAGTTCTCTCTCCTTCTCTATCTGGAGCATTTCAACATGTTTATCTTCAATTATGCTGATACACTCCTCTATGTTGTCCACTTGAGCATTCAGGGAATCCATATTTTGTTTTATTTCTTCCATTGTGTCTTTCATCTCTAATATTTTTGATTGATTCTTCTTTATAGTTTCAATCTCTTTTGTGAAGTAGCTCCTGAACTCATTGAATGGTTTTTCTACATTCTCTTTTACCTTGTTGAGTTTTTTTATGATAGCTGTTTTGAATTCTTTGTCATTTAGACTACATATTTCTGCATCCTCGGGACTGATTTCTGGGTACTTGACATTTTCTCTCTGGTCTGGAGATCTAATATAGTGTTTTGTGTTGCTAGAGGTGATGGCTCTGTTCTTATGCATCCTGATATTATTTGGTTGCAGTTACCACATATCGCCACTTGGTAGGAGTCAAGAGCTGCATATTCTGAGCCCTCTGCCTTCAACCAAAATCCCAGGGGCTGGAGCTGGAGTTGGGCAGCTGGGAGGAGGGGCACTTTCTCCTGCATGCTCTTGGGGCCTTCACACTCTGCTCTCCTGGGGTGTTGGCTTGATAAGGTTACCCCCCACAAAAGCTTTCTCCCCAGTAGAGGGCTTCCCTCTAGGCTGCAAGGGGGAGTCCTTGAAGTTGCCACGAATGAACATCTCTTCCCCCATTCCTTCCCTCTGGGAGGACTCTGGTGGTCCTGATCACAGTCTTTAGGGGAGGAAGAGAAGATTTCTCTTACCACATTCCACCTCCTCTGAGGGGGGCTCCAGCCTCTCTGCCCACAGTCATATGGCTGTGTGGGTCTCTATGATATTTTTTGTGTTGTGTTTGGATGTCTTCTCTTGGAGTAGGGATTTTTTTTTTGTTGTGTATTGGAAGGGAATGATTTCTGAGAGACCTCGCTCCACCATGATGCTGATGTCACTCCTCCAATAGCATGCTTTTTAATGTTGTGTTAAAAGCCAAACATGATGTACTCGGTAAAGGATTTGAGGTAAATAGGCCTTAGTGTGAGGTTTTGTCTTTATCTGCCTAGGGGTCAGGCTGGGTTTCCTGTTTACTGTAGCTATAGCTGTCAAAGGCTTAAATCTCCTCTGGCATATTTGGTTTTGTGTCCCCTGTTGTCTTGAGTTTCCCTAGAGATTTCTGCCTAAATGAGGCCTGAGCCTTGCAGTTCTCTCAGTTGTATTGCCCTGTTATCATAGAGATTCCTACTGATGTGGTGGTAAGGTGTTTGTCTGTGTGGAACCATTCTATCATCCTTTTGATCAGGTCTCAGTCTTTGAGTCAGCCTGTGTCCCTGGGTGCTGGCCTTCACACCACTTCTCAGGGTTCTCCCTCCTACCCCCCTCAATGGAAAAGAAAGGCTAGAGAGGGCTGGAACTGGGTACTTTCTTTAAAGATTCCTGTTTACAGCAAACTGTTGACAGTTTACAGGAAACTGATCCCAGGAAAGTTGGGATCTGGTTAAATCCCAGTTGGTTAAACTCTGGTAAAATAGTTTCTTTGAGAACAGGTCTTGTCAAGAAAATCAGAATGCTTTAGATATACCTCAGAATGGCTGCTTTCCTCTCACTCTGCCAGAAGTGCAAGGAGATTTTTCTCTAGGCTTCACTGTGAGAAACTGATAGGGTCCTGGACATAAAACTCTCCAGAAGTGTGGGGGCTCTCCTAAGACTGGGCCCCCCTGATGCATTAAACTCAAACTTCTCTGCACCAAGTATCTAGCAGGTAGTCAATTACATGTTAAGTTTTCCTATTCTGGTGCTGGCTCCCGCCTAGGTTTCTGCTCCAATAAGTTGTAATTCTCTGTATTCACCTAGCCTGTCTGTATTTCCAGCTTGGGGGGCAGCAGTTTGCTCTCTGACCTTCATTCTCTGATGGATCTAAGAAGACTGGTTATTTTCAGTTTGTTCATCTTTTTTCTTGTTCTGAGGACAGGAGTGATGAATTCCAAGATTCTTACCTGGTGGACCAGAAACTGGAAGTCTCCCCAGACGTCTTGACGGGAGAGTGAGAGGATTGTTTATTGTCTCCTTAGAGAAAGTTCTCACCGTGCCTGAGAACTAGCTTTATGTCAAGATGGATGATACAGTTGTAGAAGTCCAGAGGGAAGCTGGACAAGTACATGGATCTTGGGAACAAAAGATACTTCTAACATTTTTTCCAATACCAGGTAGAGCATGCCATGATGGTGATCTACCAGCTCAGGGAAACTGTCTGATGGATCATAGAAACATGCCAGAACATTTATTTAATACAAATAAGAGATCTTTCTGTACAGTTCTCTCAATGTACCCTGAAATCATACATAGGTATTTATACCTTCATGACCAGACAGGCCACTCTGTTTATAATGAGTGGCATGGAAATACTTAATGCCTCACTGGACATTTCTGAATTTGTTTGCAGAACATCATGAACATGAGGAGCATGAAGAAGAAAAAGCATCACTGGACCCCAGGTAACAAGGAATGCTCAGGGCCTGGAAGAGAATGGATGAAATATGAGGATGATCATCAAATGAACATACCAAGAGGTCAAAAGTAGCCACAGATTTCAAATGAAAAAGTAGCAAAAACTGCTGATTGAATGATGACATTCATTCAACCAGTAAGGAAATAGCCTTCTAAAAGGTTGTCCATTGTCTTTGTGATACGTGTAAACCTTACCTAAGGGAAATTAACCAGTCTCGGGGAATTTGTTGTAGTCACAGAATCCATCTGTTCACTCCACTATGGCTAAATTCAAGATGAGATGCATATCTGCTTTCTGCACGATGGGCTTTAGCTTGTTAGCAGGGATTTCATAGCAAGAAATGTAATTAGACCCCTCAAAAATCATATCACGTCACAATATTGTTAGAAAGAGGTCTAGAAGGCACAAGATCCCTGGGAATCTACAATATGTCAGGAACCTGTATTCCCTGGGCTGACGTATGTAACATTCAATACAATTTCTGCGCATGGTTGAGCCACTGTTCTGGTTCTCTGTGTCTGCTGAGTGCCATTGCTGTACCATACAGGTAGAGTTGATTCTCCTTCCTCATTGAGTGCTATCTGGCCAGTTCACTGAGCACCCACTCCCCTCTTTCCTGCCCTCTGGGGCAGCCACACACTGCCCTCATCACAGGAGGACTGTTTTCTTTCTCTTTGAGGGGACTGTCCCTTGCCTTCTGTGACCAATCCCTCCACCTCCAATCAGGACCACCTGGGACTCTGGCATGCAATCCTTCTTGGTTTCATCATATCCTTTTTCCCCTGGCCTGAGCACAGAGCTACAGGAAAACAAGAGAGTGAATGAAGCCCTGAAGGGCTCAGTGGATGAAGGCCCTATGACTTCTTCCAGTCACCAGGACCTGTCTGCTTCCCATGAGCTTCCCAGCACCAATGTCTTCTTGTCTGAGGAGCACGCAGACTGTTCTGCACTGGGTGCAGCTACTGAGTACTCCCATCGTCAAGAGAAGAGAGCTCCAACAGGTCTCCCAGGTAGTGTCCATATTCTTTGTGCCCCACACCTCTGTCCAGGTAGAGAGGTGTCATCTCTGCCAGCTGGCCCTGAAGACTTATCTTGATTTGAATCAGAACCTACGACTCAGTTTTAAGCATACACATCAGGTGGGTCAGGTAGTTCAACACTCTTCCGAGTCCCAGGCCAAATCTCTGTCATCCCCGTTACCATGCCTGCTCCACTCCAAACAGCAGTCTCTGTCTCCTCTAAGTTGGCTTGTCCTCAATAAGGAGCCATCTAAGTGTCAAAGATAAACACCTCTTGAATGGCTCTGGAATTTTCCCTGAATGCATGGCGTGAACCCTGGCACCCTCCACAACTTTGAATAGCAAGAATCCTGTTCTCTAGGTGGCACCAAAGATTCTTTCCAATTTATGAGTGAATAAATTCCATCCATCAGTCTAGTCTCAGTGTATAACTTCATCCAAACCAACTGCAGCCAGGATACCTGATGGACTAAGAGCTTAATCTTGCAGCAACATTTCCAGAAAGCAACTAGATGAGCTGCTCATGACCTCTGAAAGAATATGTTCACTTTTTGCCCAGGTTCAGGGCAGAGAACATTGTGATATTAATCTACGAGGTCAGAGACAGTCTGCCCAATGACTCAGGAAAGGAAGCCTGGTCACTTTCGGAAGACACAACCCGAGGCCTCCTGAAATATTCTGAGAATATCCTGTTCTCACACTGAGAATACTTGTGTCCCTGTGTTTAAATAGGCCCCTGGGTTGGTAATGTGTCAAGAAGCAACTTTTTTGTGTGACTGGCCCTGTCCGAATTTATTTTCAGAAACTCGAAAGGACCAGAAGGATGAGGAAAGAGAACAGCCAACAGCCCCCAGGTAACTGATAATCCTGGCTGTGAATGCAATGGTGACATCTGAAGATCTCAAATCCTGGGAAAAGCAGAAAGTGCCAAATAGACGTATTTCATCCAATCAGACAAGCACGAATTACCCCTTTTAAGAATGCTGTCTATTTTCTTGCGAGTTGTCCTGTTAGTTTCCACTTGGTATAAATTTCTCAAGTTTAGGAACCTAGAATCAGTTTGACACAAGGCAAAGTAACAAATCTTAGAGATTTCCTGCACTCAGGGAGACCATGTGTCCTCTCTTGTTCGGGGAAAACTAAGATAAGATGCATAACTTCTGTCTGCACATTTGGCCAGTTTCTTGGTGAGAATTTCATAGCATGACATATAGCTAGACAAAAATGTGTATATGGTATTACAGTATTGAGAGAAACAGGCCTAGAAGGCACAAGACGTCTGGGAGCCCACAATGCCCCAGGAGCCTTTACTCACTGGGCCTCTGTAAGAAAAGTGGAACAGAAGTTATGCTTTGGAGTTGTAGGAGCTCCTGTGGTTCTCGTTGTGTGCTCTGTGTCATGACTGTGCCATAGAGGAGAGCTGAGTCTCCTTCCTCATTAACTTGTTATCTGGACAGGGCAGTGAGCACCTGCCGCCCTCTCTCCCACCACCACGGCAGCGTCACTTAGTTGCAGTCATACAAGGATTGTTATCTTCTTCCTACTTCAAGGGATGCCCTCTTTACCTTCTGTGACATCTCCCTTAGTCTTCCAGTCAGAACCAGTTGGGATGTTGTGGTGTCCAATCTTTCCTTGTTTAATATTCTGTTATCTTTGTGCCTCTGGGCTCAGCAGGGAGCTCCAGGAGGAGGAAATGAATGATATGCTCCAGGATTCTTTGGATGAACAGTATTTGACTCTTTCCAGTCACCATGACTTGTCTGACTCCTGCCTCCCTCCCGATAGTCCCACCATCCCATCTGATGAGCATGAAATCTGCTCTTGTCTGGATGGAGCCTGTGAGTACTCTATTGTAAAGAGGACAAGCTCCGAATGTTCTCCAGGTAGCCTCCAAGTTCTTTGTGCTCACACCTCTGTCCAGGTACAGAAATGTCTCTTTGATGGCAGGCCCTGGAGACCCATCATGGTTTGAATCAGAATCTAAGATTCAGTTGTAAGCACAGACATCGGGTGGGTCAAGTAGCTGTACACCCTTCCAAGTCCCAGGTCAAATCTCTGTCACCCTGGGGCCCAATGCCAAGTACAGGCTGGTGAACACCAGGTAAACCAGAGTGGGGAGATTGAAGAGATCATAACACGCTTCCAGCCATGCTGATGCTTGTGCACAACGGGAGTCTCCATGAGCTCTTTCTATAAAGATGGCCCTCTGATCTCTCCTGTAATTTTCTTCCTAATTGAGTTCCTGAACTGAGCATTAATGACTGTCCAAGTAGGGTGGTAGTCTTGCCTATCTCTTTGGAGATGTTGTTACCATGGTTCCTCAGCTCTGAACTCCGGTCTCTCTCACCTCTGAGACATCTTGTCCTTGCTAAGCAGTCTGCTGAGGAAAAAGACAAAGATACCTCTGTCTTTCCATGTCTGGAGTTTGCCCTGAAATCAAGGCATGGGCCCTGGTGCCCCCACCTCTATGAATCACCCAGGTCCCTGGCCTCTCGAAAGCGCCAAATATGCTTTCCTACGTGGGGTGTATGGATTCCATCCATCAGTCTTGTCTTGGTGTATAATCCCATCTGTCTCACCAAAGACCAGGGTGTCTGCTGGGGCCAAGCTGACTCTTTCAGCAACACCTATTGAAGGCTGCTGACACGTTCCTTGTGCTTTTGGGGAAGAAAGACATGTTTAACTGGTTGCTCAACTCAGGGAAGAGGCTATGGGGATGACGATCTACCAGGGCTGGGTCAATTTGCTTGATGGCTCAAGAAGGCAAGCCCGGCCGCTTCTCACAAGGCCCAACTTGAGGCCTCCTGCAGTGTTCCTCTCAGAAGACGCTGGTTTTGCTCAAAGAATATTGCTATCCCTGTGCTTGTATAGTTTGGGGAAGGGAGAGATGTCTCTGTCCTACTCAATCGGCACTTTAAGGACCTACTCACTACAATGACCTTGACAATGACAAATAAAAATGGCAAGCAATAGGATATTGGAGTATATCAGGAAGCCATTTGGTATAAACCTAATTCGGCCTGACTTTGTTTTTTCCAAAAGGGCCTGACTGTGGCTATTGAGCACGCACTGTATATCTGCTTAGACATTTCCTATGGCCAGAACAAAGGCCTTTGAGATAAAGGTGCAGCTTCCCCCCACATTAGAATTTCCTTAGGGATAAGCATTTTTCCTTAGGCTAGGAACTGATTGCTGCACTCACCTTTGACCACCCAGCTCACCTGTGACCACTCAGCTGGAGACAACAGACTGCCACCCTGCTGTGTTCACTGAGACAGAAGACCTACCTGCTGTGTCCATCATTCGGCTGTGCCGACAGAGCAGTCATGAGACTATTGTAAAAGGGACATTTCAATCCTATGTGAAACATCCTCTCTGGGGGTATATAACCACTCTGTGCACCCCACTTCTTCGGTGCCCTTTCTTCCTTCGGGAAGAAAGGCCCCGGGTTATAATCCTCAGATTTAAGCTCAGAATAAACTCACCCAAATTTTCATTTATAGATTGGTTATGGATTATTTTCGTCGACAACAACTACCAGGGACAGGGTTTGCAAGAGCAACTGGCTGTGGGATGCAGGCTGTCATAGGGCTTCACCCACAATCTGAGCCCAGGTAAGGCGGCCACAGGCCCTGATTCCACTGAGCCCCTCCCACGTCCTCAGCTCACAAGGGACTCTATACAGTCACTCGTCATGTTTTTCCCAGCTGTCCTGGTTTTAATGTCACATTTTGGGCCATGACAGGACCAGGTCTGCCTGAGTGGTAAAACAGAGGAGAAATGCAGCAGGTGGAGGTCATAGTGTTGCAATCATTGCTTCCTCCCTGATGGACCATGGCCTTTGGGGCAGGAGGCAGCCTCCACCCAGTGTTAGAACACAGAAAGGAGGACATGACAGGAGGCAGCTTGTTAGAGTGAAAAGACCCCTGGACTGAGCAGGAGTTTCTCAGGCTCTTGCCTGAGCACTGGCTTTACAAAGAGCAGGCTAAGAGTTATTGATTTTTACTTCTTCCATAGCTGTCTCTTCATCTTTAAAATGGTTCAAATTATCTATTCACGGTAGCTGTCCTGATCAAATGTGGGAATGTTTACAAATGCACCTCAGAAAAATGAACGCCCCTCACCACGTGGGGTTGGATGAGGTGCCTGATGCAGTAGAACTTGGTGCTGGGAAGGTTGGTTTATACTGAAACGTTTTCCATATGGAGAATTTCCCCTGATAACACAAGAAGCCATCTCGGAGGTGCCCAGGAAGGCCTTGGATGTCTGGAAGGACTTGCCACAGGGTTGTCTGCACTCTCGTTAGAGAAAGGAGGAGATTCTGTATGAGAGCTGTGGCAGGACAGAGTCACTGAGCCTAGGAAGCAGCCTTGTGGCAAGGAGGAGGCGACAGAGGGAGAAGTCCAGAGGGCAGCCGGGATAGTATATGGCGATCTGTGGAACTAAAGAAATTTTTAACTTTTTGGCCAATTATAGGCAAAGCATGCCATGATGGTGAGCCACCAGATCAAAGACCTTTATGTGACGGCTCATCAAACCAAGCCAAGCGATTTCTTTAAAGACAAACTATGAGACCTTTCAGTACAATTCTCTCAGTGTCCTGAAATTGTCCCTGGTATTCCTGTCTCCCTGCCAGACAGGCCCCTGTGTTTGCAATGGGTGAGGTGGAACTGCTTAGTGTCTGACTACGCATTTCTGAATTTTTTTTGCAGAAAATCAGGAAGACGAGGAGGATGAGGAAGAGAAAGAACCACTGTCCAAAATGAATGATCAGGGGAGGATAAAGGACAGGTAAAGAATGGGAAGGGTCCTAGAAAGAACAAAGAGGGCCAAGGTGACCACATTCATGATGTGATGGTCACCCAAACCTGCAGATTGCACTCCTGTCATTCTCTCAACCAACAACGACATAGCCCTCTTAAGGGGGTTGTGCAGTCTCTTTCTGGTAGTTGTGGAGTTAGTCTGAACCAAGGTAAACTAACTACTCTCATGGATTTCCTGTACTCACAGACACCACGTGTCCTCTCATGGATGGTTGGTTAAAAGGCAGGGTGAGATTCGTATCTGCTTTCTGCAGAGTTCATCTTAGGTCGTTGGCAGGTATTTCACAGCAAGGAAGGTAACTAGACCCCAAAAAAATCGCATTATGTCAAATATTGAGAGAAGGTGGCCTAGAAGGTACAAGAACGCTGGAGTCTGCAATCCCTCAGGAGCTGGTATTGCCTGGCCACTGATGTAACTTTCAAAAATATTTATGCATTTACCAAACATGTCCCAAAATTCTGTTTTGAAGGCAAATGGTGGATGTTCTCATAGAAACCTCTGTGGAGGTCCTAGGAACCTTTGATTCAATTCCAATTATAAATTTTCCCTTCTAACCCACCACAGGGAGTTTGATTTTCTAATTTGAGTTCAGGCACGAGAGCTGACCCAGTTACACCTAAAGACACGGGAAGGAAGAGAGCTATCCATCCTGCTTAATCAGAACCTCAAGGACCTCCTCGCCCGCAGTGACCTTAACAACCTCCAGGGGCAGGTCTTCCAAGAGCAATTGGCTGAAGGATGCAGGCAGTCCCAGGCCCTTGTCAGCAAGCTCAGCCCAGGTAAGGCGGCCACAGGCCCTGATTGTGCTGAGCCCTCCAAGGTCCCTGGCTCACAAGAGCCTCCACTTCTCCCCTCATAATGTTTTTGCCATCTGTCCTGGTTTCCACATCACACTTGGGGTCATGACAGGACCAGGAGCGGCTGGGTGGGAGGACAGAGAGGAGAAATGTACAGGGTGGAGGTCATAGTGCTCCACGTGCCTGCTTCCTCCATGATGGGCCATGGCCCTTGGGACAGGGGGCAGCCTCCACCCAGTATTAGAGCACAGAAACGCGGACGTGACAGGAGGTGGCTAGTTAGAGTGAAAAGGGCCCTGAGCTAAGCGTGGACATTCCCAGGCTGAGTTCTGTCTTTCCTAGCAGTGGGCGAGGGATGGATGTATCCTTCCTGGATTTCAGTTTCTTCATCTCTAATGTGATTAACACATGTGTTGCGTGGTAGCTGTAGCATTCCAATAGGGAATGTCTATGAGTGTACTTTCACAATGCTAGAGTCACTCACTGGGGTTGATTTCAGTCCTGGGTATGGTAGATCTGGTAGTGGGATGTGGGTTTACTCTAGAATACTTAGCACTTAACATGGAGAGAATTTTCCTGGTGAACAGTAGACGCAGATGTGGAAGTCCCCACAAAGGACCAAGTCATGTGAGACTCGTGGGACAGAATTGTTTTTCCTCTCCTGAGAGAAAGGAGGAGGTTCTCTGTGAAAGGCATGATGAGACACAGAGTCACTGAGCTTGGGAACCAGCCTTGTGGCAGGAGGGAGGAGAGAGTGGGAGGAGCCCCTAGGAAAGCTGGAGAAGCATCTCTTGATCTGGGTAACAAAATCAATTTTTAACTCCTTGCCCAATTCAACCCAGAGCATGCCATTCTGGGATCCATCAGATCAGGGCCACTTTGCCTGATCGATCAGAATACCACTGCAGCCCATTTCTTTACAGACAAAACATGACACCTTTCTGAACTCATGTAGAGATAATTCGTGTCTCCATGCCCAGAGAGGCACCTGCATTTGTAATGGGTGAAGTGGAACTAGCTAATGTCTAAATGGACTTTTCTCAATTTCTTTGCAGAAAACCATGAAGATGAGGCTGAAGAACAACTGGGATCACTGACTCCCAGGTAACAATGAAGGATCAGAGGAGAGTAATGTACAAGTCAAATGCAGAGAGGGTTCTGGAAAGAACAGACGCAGAGGTCAAAAGTAGCTACTTTCCTGATGCAAGGAGGCACAAAACTGGCTGATTGTGCTGGTCTCCTCCACTCCCCCAGTCTGGATCATCCATGTTCTTTGTAGCATGTGGAGTCTGTCTCACTCACAGTGAGGTAACCAGTCCTAGATACGTCCTGCCCCTTCAGAGATGCCTTCTTCTCCTCCAGAGGGTCAAAACCCAGAGTAAGATCCATACCTGCTCTCTGCATGTGGGCCTGAGCTTGTTGGCAGGTGTTTCATGACAAGGAAAGTAACCAGGCAAAATAAAAACTCATATTTTGTCTCAACCTTTAGAGGAGGAGGCCTAGAAGTTACAAGATCTCTTAGAGTCTCCAGTGTCTCAGGAGCATGTTTTTACTGGGTCACTGTGTGTAAAATGCAAAAGGAAAGAAGAAAAAATGTGGTCCACCAAAAATGAGCAGATTTCTACTTGGAAGGCCTTTTGGGGATATTCTCACAGAAATCTCTCTCAAACTCCTTATCATCTCTCATTACCCCATTTCCATTCTGAGGATTTCTCTTCTCTCCCGCCTTAGGAAATACCATTTCCTAATTCATGATCATGCAGGAAAGCTGACCCAGATACGCCAGACATCACGGGAAGGAAGAGAGGTCTCTGTCCTCCTCCATCAGCACCTCAGGGACCTCCTCATCCACAGTGACCTTGGCAGCGACTGGGGACAGGGCTTCCGAGAACAACTGGCTGAGGGACGCAGGCTGGCAGAGCACCTTGTCTGCAAGCTTAGCCCAGGTAAGGGGGCCCCACAGGCCCTGATTGCACTGAGCCCCTCCAAGGCCCCTGGCTCACAAGAGCCTCCGCATCTCCCCTCGTAATGCTTTTGCCAGCTGTCCTGGTGTCCGCATCGCACTTGGAGCCGTGACAGGACCACGACTGGCTGGGTGGGAGGAGAGGGGAGAAATGCACAGGGGGACGTCATAGTGCTCCAAGAGTCTGCTTCCTCCCTGAGGGATCGTGCCCTTTGAGGCAGGAGGCAGCCTCCACCTGTTGTCACACTGCAGAAAGGAGGACGTGACAGGAGGCAGCTTGTTAGAGTGAAAGAGTCCTGGACTGAGCGTGAGCTCCTCAGGCTCTTGCCTGAGCTCTAGCTTTTATAACTACAGGCGAGTGATTGATTTCTCCTTCCTGGATTCCTGTTTCCTCATCTGTAAAATGGGTCAAAAGATGTCTTGCATGGTATCTGTAACTATTAAAGGAGGGAATACTCACAAATGTACTTCAGAAAAGTATCATACCCCTAACCATTTGGGGTTTATTTAGTTAAAATCGTAACATCTGGGGGCAGATAGGTTGATTTGTAATAGAACACTTTCCACAAAGAAAATTTTCCCCTCTTACATTGTAAAAGACAATTTGGAGGACCCTGTGAAGTCCCGGGATGTATGGAGGGGTGAGTCATGGGGTTTTTTATCCTCCTTTTAGAGAAAGGAGTAGGGTCTATGTGGGAGTTCTGAGTGGACATAGAGTTACTGAGACTGGGAACCAGCTTTGTGGAAGGAGTGAGGATAGAACTAGAGAATTCCAGAGGGAAACTGGAAAAGTACCCGCTGATCTGGAGACAAAAGATATTTGATCTTTTCCCAGTGAAACTCAGAGCATGCCATGATGGGGGTCCAGCAGATCAAGGACATTTTGCCTGATGGGTCAGTACACCCTCCCAGGCCATTCCTTCAAAGTCAAACATGGGGCTGTCAGCACAATTCTCTCAGTGTGTCCTGACCTCATACACAGGTCATTGCTGTCCATGCCCAGGCAGGCCTTTGTGTCTGTAACGGGTGAAGGGGCACTATTTCATCTCCGTCTGGACATTTCTGAATTTTGTTTGCAGAAAATCTGGAAGACGATGAAGATGAGGAAGAACAAGAATCACTGACCCCCAGGTAACAGTGAATGAGGAGGGCTAATAAGCAAGGGTAAAGTGTGGGGAGAGTACCTGAAAGAGAGACCCTGAGGGCCAAATAGCCCCAGGTTTCACATGCAAGGGGGAACCAACACTGCCCCTTGTGTGACTTCAGTCACTCAAGCAAGGATGGCAAAGCCCTTTGAACGAGGTTGTCTGTTGTCTTCGTGGTACTTGTGGCCTCAGTCTGACAAGGGGAACTAAGCAGTCTCAGGGATTTCCTGCCCTTAAAGAAATCCCTTGTTCTCTCTTGGAAGGCTAAAACAAGGATGAGGTGCATGTCTGCTTTCCCAACTGTTGGCCTTAGGTCCTTGATAGGTATAGCATAGCCAAAAAAGGGACTAGACAAAAATAATAAGAAAAAAAACCATAGCAAGTCACAATCTTGACAGAAAATGGCCTAGAAGGCACAAGATCTCTGGGAGTCCACAATGCCTCTGGAGCCTGCATTCACTGGGCTGCCATATGTAAATTCAACACAGTGTATTCACAAACTGGAAGCCATTGTATTGGTTCTCCAAGTGCGATGAGTCTGCCTTACAGGGAGAGTGCAGGCCCCATCATCACCTCACTGTCTGTCCAGTGCACTGAGCACGTTCTGCTCACTCTCTTTTTTTCTCTCTCCCTCTCTCCTGTTCCAGGACAGCCAGGCTTTGCCCCAGTCCCTTGGACCCTACCCTTCAATCAGAACCAGCTGGGATACTGTGGTGTCTAATCCCTCTTGATTTCTTCTTTTCTCTTCCCTCTCTCCCCAGTCTGGAGAGGGAGCTGCAGGAGGTGAATGTGAATGAAATCCTTCAAGATCCATCAGTGAACACAGTTTGACTCCTTCCAGTCCTTGTGATCTGTCTGCCTCCGGGGAGCCCCTCAGAAGCACTGCCTTTCCATGTGATGAGCCTCAAGTCAGCTTGGCTCTGGAGGCAGCCAGTGAGTACTCCCATTATAAAGCAGATAAATCCAAGTGGTCTCCCAGTTAGCCTCCATATTTTTTGTGCTCACCACAGCTGGCCAGGTAGAGAGATATCATTTCTGCAGGCTCTTGGACAGAGTTTTAAGTACAGATTTCAGGAGGGCCTGGGAGCTGTGCTGTCACCCTAGTCCCTAGCTATGTCCCTCTCAGCCTGTCCCTCAGTGGCATCTGCAAGCCATTGTTCCCCAGGTGGGAGAGAGAAGGGATCATAACCACCTCACAGCCACCACTACAGCAGGGGCACAGTAGGTATTTGTCAGACCTCTTTCTTTAAGATGACGCATCTCATCTCCAGCAGTGTTCTTGCTAATTGCTCTTCCTAAGCAATGTCTCCCACTCTTCTCTGGCCATCCACATGTGCCAACAGTTTTGCTCAATTATTCTGGAGGTCTGTTCTCATGATTTCGGGTTCAAAGATGATTCTCCACTTCCTCTGGAGTGACTACCTCCCTCTGAAGATTTAAAAATGAGATCCTTGACGCCACATCCTGCCTGAGCCCATTAGTTTCAGTGAAGCCAAAGCTCTGGCTCTGGTTTCCCCTCCTCCATGAATGGCCATGGTTTTCATCCTATGTGCAGGCCCAGTGACTTCTTCCATGTGTGGGTTAGAGCTTCAAGCATGAGTCACGTCTCAGTGTTCTACTATCATGTAAATGTCAACAACCAGTGTGTCTGATAGGACCCTCGCCTAATTTGTGAGCAAAGCAGAACATGAGGCCAGAAGACTGAAGGACTACAAAGGCGGGGAAGGAGTTTGCCAGAGTAGAGTTGGAACGTGATGAGAACAGGACTTCTGGGTGATTAGATTGTTGAGACGTTTGATCGTGTGGAGATGACAGGATCAGAGAAGCAGAAGGAGATTGATGAATCCAGACATCAATGATGATGAGTCTCATAGAGTATGTTGTCAGGATCTACATGGCAACACCATCCCAAGTGATATTTTTAAGAAACAGTTCAACTTTGGCGGCAATGAGGATGTGTAGAGAGGAGAAGATAGGGGAATGCACAGTGGTGTGGAGTAGGCCCAGGGGGTCATGACCCTGCCTTAGCCTGACCTGGACTGGTCTGAGGCTATTTGAGGTCTTTGGTTAGCCCTCTTTCTGAGAATATGTTTTTATTTCACAGAAGAAATATAAACATGTTTGATTAGGGACTGCTGCCCAGACCCCAAGGAGGAGTGTGTCATATAAGGATTGTGTACCATATTACGTCCCAGAAGAACCATACAAAGTCTGATTCTGTAGCAGTCCTGGCCCCTAAGTTTCCAATAAGGGACTCAGACCCCTACCACATTACTTACAGCTGCTAGTACATCCCTCCATGTGGCAATAGAATATATAAGTGTGGGTGATAGAGGGGCAGTAAAATGTTACAGACAGGGAAGGTCAAAAGGCTCCAAAACTTTGCAAATATTCCATAACTTGGTCCTTGGTCTACAGTTTCCCAACTCCCTTTCTACTGGAATCTGAAGCCTTGGGACCATACTTCTTCTCCTCTTCTTATATTCTTCTGGGTAGACATCAGCAGCCCTTTCTCTCCCATCTCTTGAGCCCTCTCTAGAACGGTCTCTGTAGGCTCCTGGACTAAGGTTACTAGTAACAGAGTAATAGGCATGACCTCGTCTGCCCATGCAAAGCCCTCTGGACTCCAGTGGGTGATTGGCCACTTCAGGGACACTGTAGTCTGGGCACCTGCCATCTCAGCCTCCCCGGGCACACACATCATGGCGACATCTCCTTCATATACATGAAGTCTGCGTTTGTTTCCTGGGTCACTGGGTGGTCTCACTGACAAGCAGGGGCTTCTGAAATGAGTGGTCTGGGAGAGCTTAGCAAAGGGAAACTCGGATTGGTCCTACTGAAACCACTTCTTGTTTCAGCTCCTCCCTGGGAGGCTTGTCAGCAGGTGCCTCTGAGGGGAAACTTGAGTTTCCAAAGGTTAGAGATGCAAACTTCACAAGCACAGCTGGAGCCAAGCAGCAGGTGAGAAATTATCTGCAGCTGGACCTGGACCAGTTTCATTGCGGGGATGGCAAAGCCCTGCTTGGCCTTTCCTCCACCATCTAGAGCTTTGCAGCCAACACTGCTTCTAGAAGTGCCACTCTTCCAAGGTGAGGAAGAAAAGAGAAATAGGGAGCTCTAGTCCATGTGTTGGGCATCACAGGGCTGTGGGGAGGCGGCAATGGGGCCTCTCCTGTGCTCACTTCAGGTCAGGTTGAAACCCATGATGCTCTGATAGAGCGAGGTGGTGAGAGCCTGGGCTTTAGGATGAGCCCTGCCCCAGGTCCCGGGTTTGCATCTTACTGGCTGTTCACCTTGGCCAGGTTGTTTACCCTCTTAGGAATTTACATCTCAATTCCCTCATCTGAAACCCCTGAGAATTATGTCTGCATTCCATGTTTCTTGGGAGTATTAAGGACATAATTTCCACAGTGTCTGATTCAATAAAAATTGCTTGATAACAACTATGAGTATACATATCTAACCCCATATCTTCCTGGTGCTTTAACACTTGCAAAATGATTCCACGTGCATTGTTCCGTCTGACAAAGAGCAGTCTTGATGGTCTCCCCTCTCTCTGGACCCCATCTCCCCTTGCTCTCAGAAAGGCACGTTTGCCCATTTCCCCCTCTCCTTTCACGATCCATCATCAGGCCAATTTCTCCCCCATTAGGTGCCCTCAGTAACACTGTATTCGGCACGTTCAGTCCCAAAGGAAACACTGGTGCATAGCTCAGTCTCCTGCTTATTCTTCAGTTTTTTTCCTGTTTTTAAAATGAAGGGCCACCTTCATCCGTAAAGTGCACAAATCGTCTCTTTTATGGTACTCCATTTAATTCATCATCTCTACTCATCTCCAAGACCATGTCCTCAGTTTTCTTCTCATCAGGATCCACTGATGCTGAGGTTTGCTTAAAACTGAGCTTCCAAACCCTGACATCAATTTCCTCTGGGTCTTGTTCCTCCTCACCCTCCACCGCTCTCAGCATCTCCTCCTGGGCCCTGGAGCTGCCTGGTGCTCATCCTTCAGGTGATGGTGTCATCTGAGGAAGGAGGAGAGACCCATGTTCTCAAGTGGAGGTGGGGCAACAAGGAGTGTCCTGTTGCTCATGGACAGGTTCTAGAGAAAGTCTCAGTGAGGGTCAGGGGAGGCGTAGCCCTGACAAGTGCCATCAGATATTGGGCCATTTAGTTGTCTTCTCACCCTCTAGCCTCTCTTTTCCTTCTCCTTGGCTTCCCCAATCCCAGCCAAGACTCAGCCTCACTGGCTCAGTCGCTGTCTTTCCTGCTCACTTTCCACAGGGGCCTGAGCAGGAAACTAGGCTCCACGCCAGGTTTTTTTGGCCAAGGATAGTTTCTTAGTCCGTTCAGGCTGCTATCACAAAAACACCATTAACTCGGTGACTTAACACAACAGAAATTTATTTCTCACAGTTCTGGAGGCTGACACATCCAAAATCACGGCACTGGCACACTTGATGTTTGGTGAGAGCCCCGTTCCTGGTTCACAGAGGCTGTCTTCTCGCTCCGTCCTCACGTGCTGGAAGGGATAAGGGAGCTCTTGGGGTCTCATTTATGAGGGCACTAATCCCATTCATGAGGAGCCTGCCGCCCAAAGGCTCCACCTCCAAACACCATCACACTGGGGATCTGGTTTCCACAGAGGAATTTGGGGGAACGCAAGCGATCCTTCTCTGGAGATACCGTTAATGCTCTTTGTGTTATCCTCACCCGCCTCCTCCTGGTGTTCCACGGGTCATCTGTTTCTCACCACAGCTTTTCTCCTTCTCGTATTTCTAAATTTTTTCCAATTTCAACTGACCAGAATAGTGATTAGAATGTTATATTTAACGTCTCTAAGTCCCTTTATATTCATTTGTTCAATTAGATAAATGGATACATATACATATATGTATTTATACGTTTGTCATACATTATGTGTATTTTGTGTGTACATTATATATAGGTACATACGTGAAATACATGTATGTGCAAGTTTTGTAAACTCCCCTGCTTTCACCTTCTGCCGTTCTGTTTTTTTCTCTCCTAAGTTTTCCCGTCCACTGTGGTTTTGCCTGATCTCTACAGTCTCTTCCCTCCCAATACAACAACCTCTGTCCATGTGATTTCCTTGCCTTTGTCTTCTCTACTGAGACACTGTCTTTATCAATACTATTTTTCTTGATATTTCTTGGCAATTGGGAGTGTGTTTGCCTCCTGATAATCTCATCATCACTGAGTACTGTAAGAAAGATCGACAAAAAAGAAAATATCAAAGTGTCTGCATTGGCTTCACCTCACCCCCACGGATTTTCAGATGGCCGTTGTTGTTCGAGCCACTTTCCTTATTCGATGTCCCTCTTGGGTGGGAAGTAAGTCACAGTAAGACTATGAAAAACTGTGGATCCTGTTGGCTGTGGTTTTCTTTTCAGAGCTGGGTTTGGATGCATCCCTCAGGATGAAGACCCCTCCCACGCTGAAGGGTGATGCTCTTGAGTGTTCGGATGCCAGCAAGCAGGGGTGTCAAGTCGTTGGCCACATTAATGCTTCAATTGCCATTCAACAGAGGATTCTCGAAAGAAAACTGTGGCTCAGCAAGTGGAGACTACCATGCAGATTCCCTGGCCTTCAAGCTTAGAGTCCAGAGGTGATCCCATCTGGGGCTCTCAGAGGCACTAATTCCTCAGTGCTCTCTGTCTAAGCTTATAGCTCAGTCTCCCGCTCTTTTTTCTCTCCCTTGTTTGTTCAGTTCAACAGCTGGTGCTACCTCTGTCTGGTCTCACCTCTGTCCTTCATGGGGGCTGCCACTGTGCCAGGCCCTTCCTTCTCCGTCTCCTGTTTGCACTCTGACCTCTGCTGTGTTTCCACTGCCGCTGTCCTGATACTCCCTCTCACCTTTCCTCTTAGCCAAGGGGAAGCCCGGCCCCATGGTGGTCCTCATCACAAGAGCATCTTTTAGCCTCTGAACACATCGTACTTCATCTGAAATCAGACAGTTTCTTGGCTTCTTTGCCTTCCCTTCCCTGCTTCCCCCACTCCACTGCCTCTTTCTTCTGGGAGCATAGTCCTAATGGACCACTTGCACATGGATCCTCCTCCTGGGTCTTTTAGGGAACCCGACCTAGGACAACCCTTAACCCTGGACTTCTCCATGTGAATAAGAAGTGTTAAAACTGAGGAGAAAGAGCCCTAATTAAAAAAGCTAAATGGGAACCTGGGTCACAGGTGGGAGTGCTGGACTGGCCTGGAGTCAGGTTTCTTCTCAGCCCCAGGTGTGCAGGCCCAGGCTGGTCTGCATGGGACCTCCAGGGAATGCGTGTCCCCACCTCAGGGCCTCCTTGGAGCTGGCGTTAGTACTGCCATGTAATAAACACCTAGTGAAATTTTATTTAAAATGAATGCCTTGACTTCATACTTCAAGATTCTCATTTAAATGGTCTGGGGTGGGGTTGGGGCTTCAGTATTGTTATAAAGCTCCCAAGTGATTCTCATATGCCGCTAGAGATGAGAAGAAGCATTTGTCTCCTACGATCTCAGGTTCAGCATATAAATATCCCAAACATTTCACCACTTCATTGTAATGACTGAATATCCATCATTGATGGAATTTGTATTCCTCTCTCAATGGTACTATCTGTATAACATACCAAAAAATCGAGAAGAAAAAGAGGTAGATAAATGGATTAGACTTATAACCTCTCTACTTGGAGGAGAGTTTCTGAAACTTTTTTGAATATAAGATAAAATAAGAAATAAACATTATATTAAAATTCAGTTTACAGAAAAAAATACCTCCCCATTATAAATAAGCAGAATTTAGAATTTTCCTTAATTTTGGAGTTTTGTGGGGGTTTTGTGTGGGTGTGTGGTGAGGAAGATTGGCCCCGAACTAACATCTGTTGCCAATCTTTCTCTTTTTGCTTGAGGAAGATTTCTCTGAGCTAACATGTGTGCCAGTCTTCCTCTATTTTGTCAGTGGGACACCGTCACAGCATAGCTTGATGAGTAGTGTGTAGGTCTACACCCAGGATATGAACCCACGGAACCCGGGCCACCTAAGCAGAGCCTGCGAAGTTAACCACTACGCCACCACACCATCCCTTTCTTTAAGATTTTTATCGTAAAACTTGAAGTTCACATTCCATCAAATTTTTTTCAAGTCTAATGGGACTACAGTTGGAAAATTTTAGTTTTGATCAATTTTCCTCATTAAGTAAAATCCCCAAAGAGAACAATTATGTTCATTCCCCTAAAGAGAATGTAATAGTAAATAAACTGAACATTAGGAAAAAGAGTGTAGGTTTATGCTTCTTTATGTCATTCTTTAAACTGGCATAAATCCTAAAAAGGAATCTTTCCCGAGGGAGTGCTTTGGGAGAATCAAAGGGAGGATGGGAGACAATCTAGTCAAACCAGTTGCCTTATGCATCCCCTTCAGAGACTTTCTGGTCTAGATGTTGAGAATATTCCTAGCAATGCCCTAAGGTGTATCCTGGTGTGGAATCAACACAGGAATGAAGGAAAATGGGTGGGACCATGGTTGTACTCCCTGCTGTCTTTTGCTAATTCCATTGTGAGTTTCCCCTTGTGGGGTTCTTCCTCAGTCCCTCTGGAGAATATTTCTCTGTAAAGCCTTACTCTTGCCCAGCCAAGGTGACCCAACAGTATCTACTTCCTGTCGACACCTCCGGACTGGAGCCTTTCCTCTCACCTTCCCCGAAATGTACACAAAGGGAAAGGCCTGGTTTCTAGCCCCAGGGTTGTCGATAACAGATCACGTGGCTTTACTTAGGCCTTAACCCCTTGGCACCCCAACTCCTCATCTATAAAAGGTGGAACTGGATTTGGATATATTCTGAGGTCCCTTGTAGGCTCTCACATTCCGGACCTCTTCCCATCGCCTGCCCTTCCTCCTCAGAGTACTGGGACAGAGAGAGAAAGAGGGCGTGCCTCTCTGCCAAGGGTCCTCTCCTTCTAACAGCAGTCTGTTTCTGTATGTGTGTGATGGATGCCGAGCACATCCCTCCCTGGGAGGTGTGAGACAACCATCCCCTTGCTCCAGACGAAGGGGATTCAGGAGTGAAGTGGCTGCTGAGGACAGGGTGGTGGGGATCTGGCTAAGGCTCTGCAGCAGCTCTGAGCTCAGACGTCATCAGCTCCTGGTGGGCGAGGACAGGGGTCCCTGGATCCTGCACCATGGACTGGATGGAAGTTTAGGGAGGTTCTTCTTCTAACTTTGGATCTCACTTTCCCCTTCAGCCAGCCTGCGGCTCCCCCTTCAGCTCCTCTTCCCAGTAGGAGCTCAGCTTGCTCCTGGCCTCTGTCACCATGTAGTCAGCCCTTTAGGCTCAGCTCTCAGCAGGACCTGACAAAGACTCACACTGGATTTCTTTTCTCTCTCTCTCAGATACCAAGTACTTCTGAAACTAAGAAAAGAAGAAACCCCATTATAAAGTCACTTTTCCACTTGACAAAACAAACCTAAAACAGCAAAACAAGTTAAAGACCAGAGGGATCCTTTGCTGAGAATCCACATCACAACCACAAACCACTCTCCAGGATGTTTACTCCAAAAGCCTGCTTCGATGGGAGCAATCCCAGCCCCTCAGCCTCCAGTTGTGGTACATCGCGAAGGAGCCCAATGCCTAGATGCACACACGGTTCTGAGAGACCTTAACCCTCGCTCCTCTCAATTCCCATCCCCTACGAAACCAGAATCAGGAGCAAGTGGGAAAAGACAACATGTCGAACCGGACGTTCTTTGCCACCAGCAGGCAGCAGTAACCATGCAGTGTTCTTGTTGAGAATGTGCAGGCTGAATTTCATCATGAGGTCATCAGACAACTGCAGAATGTAGACCATTGAACAAGACAACTGGCCTTTCTTCCAACAGTCAGTGCCACCACAAAGACAATGACCAAGAGGAGAAGAGATATTTTGGGTTTCTAAGGACTGAAAAGATTATGTAATTATATTTCTTTAGTCCTTTTGGACCAAAAATATCTCCTCACCTTTTTGTGGTTGTCTGTGGTGGTGGTGACGTGGCCTTGTTTGCAGGGGACAGGTCAGTTGTCCGGCTCAGTGGTCTACATTCTGAAGTTGTCTGACCATTTCCTCATGATTAAATTCAGACTCACCCTTCTGCCAAGAACACTATACAGTTAGTTTCTGCTGTGAGTGTCCTAGCGCAGCCCCCTGGAGACCAAGGATGTCTAGTTTATCCACCACCGTTACTGTGAGACTAGCATTGGTCACTTTGTTCTGGAGGGCCTACGAGATCAGTTCATTGTAAAGACACATTTTTCTCTTCTATCATTAGTAATTTGATGAGTAGTGGTTTGAGAATGTTTGAATATCCTCTTCTCTAAAGATCTTTCTCTAAAATTTTTACCATCCATTAATGAGTCCTGCTGTGTGTCAGTCATCATATTCCTGTTTGTACACTGGAGATTTTCTAATCTCATATTCCTCTATACTTGTAGTTGTTGGCACAGTGCTGTGGAAAAGAACATTCCCTCCCCCTTTCATACCATTAAAGTTTCTATTGTGACTGTCACTGTGGACTCGTGAATTTTTAACATTCATTAGCATAATCCATTATACTCATGATTGATTTCAATGGATATGGATTTAAGTCAATATAAAGATTCTTGTTCCTCGTGTTCATGTTTATATGCTAAAGTTTCCCACATAAACAAAATTTCCTCAATCATCTTTGATTGGGTAGAATTTCTCCTTCAAAGACTTCTCGTGATGGAATCAGGACTCCCTGAATGTTGCATGTTTACTAGTCTTGATGCGTGGACAGCTTGGCTAAATATAAAGTACTTGCCCACAATGATTTTTATTGAGTTTTTAAAAAATACTGTCTCACTCTGTATGTTCTGTTGAGATGGAGAATGTAAATTGTTTTTCTCCCAGTTGTATGTAAATTGGCTTTGAGGGGGTAGGGGCAGGTCTGGAACTTCAGCGGAATTGTTTTTTCTTTTTCTTTAAATCTTTTAGTTCTAAGAGGATAGAATTTGGAGTTGACCATTCCAGTCTATTTCTCCCAGGTATCTATGATTTTCTCTCTGATCCTTTCTCATCATCTTTTCTTCATTTTTGTTCTGCTTGATGCTTTCATTCTTTATACAATGTCTCTTCTAATTTTGGACAGATGTGTTGCCCTTATCAACCTTGCCATTTAGCCTCTTTTTCAGAGAATGTTCTTTTTCTTCATTTTTTCCTAAGTTCTGCCATTGTTTCTCATTTCCTGTTTCTTGTCTAATTCTCTTTTGAGTTGCCTATTTCTTATGTGAAGTTTTTTTCATATCCACAAATGCTTTCTTAGGAACGTTTAATCCAGATAGGGATGTCATTTTACAGTTTTCCAGTGTTTTGTGATTGATTTTGAGGGGATTCTTTTCATGAGTTGAAATCTTTAACTCTCTCTTCCTGTTTTTTTCTTCTGTCCCCTTAGAATACATGTCTGCTATATGACTTTCATATTAACATGCCTAGGTTTACCTGGATGAGAAACACAGGTTCTATGTAGGAACGGATGGGCGTTTGAGTGGTTTATTCAATTTCTTAGGTCTAGATCTCTCTCTTTGGTGCAATGACTCTATTGTGAGGTTTTGGGGCTGGGTGTGGTGCATCTTCTGATTCTAGAAATCTACCTTCTTCCAGTAGGACCTTTAATTTCTACCAGCTGCTTCATTCTTCTTTTTTAAATGTAATTATTAATTCATGAATTTAATTTTATTTTATAGGTTTCTAATCTATTACAGTTTTTATCCTTATCGAAGTTCCCATTGTACCATCTTTGGTCAATGGGAGCATCTTCAGGTTTGCTTGTTAATCTTATCTTCTTCTTCTTCTTCTTCTTCTTCTTCTTCTTTTTCTCCCCAAAGCCCCCCAGTATGTAGTGGTATATTCTGGCTATAGGTCCTGCTAGTTGTGCTATGTGGGATACCGCCTCAGCATGGCTTGATGAGTGGTGCTAGGGCCCAGCACCCAAACTGGTGAAACCCTGGGCTGCTGAAGCAAAACATGTGAACTTAACCACTCGGCCATGGGGCCAGCCCCTGCTTCATTCTTTTCTTCACTACAAGCCTCCAAAGGACGCTACCTTCATCTAGGTCTCCCACCCTGGCCCTGGCAATTGTGGCTCCCCAAGATTGTCACCTCTGGTCCTCCGCACTGTGGAACCCTTCCTTTCAATTCCCCGATTTCCAGAGGTCTCAGGCCGCTCTGAATTCATCAGAGTCTCTTTCTGTAGAGAATTTCCCTGTGTTCCCTCTGGAGCAGGGCCTCCCTGCTGTCCTGTCCTCTATGGTCACAATCTTCACTTATCCTTTTACTGCTGTGTGGCTTCCAGACCTGGATCAATACAAACCAACTGGAGTTCACAGTGTTCTCTGGCCCCTGGTGGTTTGGGGGCAGGGTACAAGAGGTGTTTTTGACTCTTGTGAGATAATAGAATATATTATCTGCCCCTGTTTCCTGGCACAGAACTCCTGAAACTCTTGTAATTTCCTAAGTGATAAGAACATTAGGAGCATCTCTGTTCCTAATATTTGGTGTTTGACCCCTTCCTGACACAGTGCTCCTAAAACCATTGTAAATTCCTAAGTGATAAGAAAACTAGGAGCATCTTTTGTCCTATGAGGCAACTCTTAAGTGGGCACCTGGATGGCTCCTGGGTAGGAGTGCTCACCAGAAAAACCAGGCTGTGATTAGAAGCTTGGAATTTTCAGCCCCACAACCCACCCTCCAGAGAGGGGGAAGACGCCAGATATGAATTTCATAATTGATCCTGCCTACATGAAAAGCCTCTCTATATGCCCAATAGTAGGGGATTTGAAGAGCCTCCAGGTTAGTGAACACATCCACACTGGGAGATGACACACCCCAACTCCACAAGGACAGAAGCTCCTGTATTCAGGACCCTTCCAGATCTCACCCTATGTATGTCTTCATCTGGCTACTCATTGGTTAGTTAAACCTGAGGAGGGGGTTGTGGGAACTTCTGATTTGTAGCCAAGTTGGAGAGAAGTTGTGGGTAACCTGGGGACCTACTACTTATGATGGCATCTAAAGGGGACTGAGGCCTTAACCTTTTGGATCAGACAGTATCTCCAGGTAGACAGTGTCAGAACTAGGTTAAATTGTAGGACACTCAGCTGGTGTCCTGGAGAATTGCTTTGTGGGTGGAAAAAACCCAAATATTTGGTGACCAGAAATGTCAGAAGTGAAGCTGTTTTGTACAAGGAATAAAGGAGACAGACAGGAAAGAAAAATACAGGAAGAAATAACTGGGTTTTTGCTTTTACAACTCTGTTAATCCCTAATCCTTTGAAATACATGTTGAGAAAATCAGCTGCCATTATCCTAAGTGGACCTGTACTCTCTCTCATTCTTTTTCAAATGCAGAATTTCAATAGTACACAAAAATAGAATTCTATAATAGAACATTCTTATCTTTATTGACCAGCTTCAACAATTATCAACTTATAGCTGAACTTGTTTTAACACAATCCCACCTACTTATCATTTTTTATATTATTTAAAGCAAATCCCAGACATCATGTTCCATTCCTAATTATAACAGTGTATTTCCCTAAATGATGACGCTTTTGAAAGTATTATCATAATAACATTACAATTATTCATTAATTAATTTAAAATATTTAATATCATGAAATAGACAGTGTTCCACTTTTCCATTGTTGTTTTTAAGTTGGTTTCTTTAAATCAGGATACAAAGAAAATTTACAAACTATCATCAATTGGATATGTCTTTAGGCCTCTTGAATATATAGGGTCTTCCTAAGTTTCTTTCTCTCTCTGTCCCTCTCTTGCTTTTGTTCTCTCCTCTTTTGTTAATTATTTGTGATGAAATTGAGTCCTTTGTACTGTAGCATTGCCACTGTCTCACTTTGGCTGATTTTGTATCTGGATATACTTTAACACAAGCCTCTGTCCTCCATACTTCCTCTCAGTGGGTGGTAGAATCTAGAGCAATGCTGTCTTAATAGGAAGAAAATGCAAGCTGCATATGTAATTTAAAAATTTTAGTAGCCATATTGGAAACTAAAAAGTATGAGCACACAACAATACAAAATATTCATTTTATACATTGCTACTGTTAAGGGAAATTGTTCCACCAAAGTTAAAAAGCTGTGTTTAATAAAAAATATTTTTCATGTTTTCAGTTTTTAAGTTTACATTTAAATGAGTTATAAATTGAATGAAATTAAAATTCGCTTCCTCCTTACCACTAGCCACATTCCAAATATTCAATAGCCACGTTTGTAACAGCTACTTTTTTGGACCCAGCAGACATAGAGATTGATCAGATTCATGTTTGATATGTTGGCAAGACTTACTCAAAAGTGACGTGTGCTCTTCCATCAGGGGACACATCATGTCCTGTGTGTCCCTTCTAATGGCGTTAGCAGCCCTTTATGTTCAGGGCCCACATCTATTGATTGATTATGTGAAGCAAAATGGTGATGTTCCACTATCATGTGTTATTATTACCTGGGACACTTGTAGAAAGAGAATCTTCCCCTAAATACTATTTAGTAATTTAGTGGTACAGTCTGTAAAGAAAACTGCCACTAAATGGGCTGGTCCCCTGGCATCCTCTTGTGTTTGCCAATTAGTGTCTTATCTTTTTTCCTTTTGTTTTTTTTTTTCCTGTATCAATGTGAACTCCAGGATTCAGACACATGGAGGTAGTTCAATCCATTGCAATGTGGTCTTTACTGATGCTCCAATTATCTTCTCTTTCAACAATAAACATCAGTTCAAGTTGTCTCCTTAATCTTGTCGATAAGATGCTAATAATCTCTGAGGCCTTTCCTGATATCAGTACAACAAAGTGTTTCTGTCTCATCTTGAATACTTACTGCTCCTGACATGGACTCAGTCATTTCTCTAAGAATCTCTGGTTTCTTTTTGTGCAAAATGGTATTCTTAGGTCAAATTGAGTATCCTAGAGGTACTCATTGCCATTGGTTTGTTTCCAGTGGAGAGAGCTAGGAAATGCATATTCATGTTAATATGTATTTATGTATTCATACATATTCACAAACTCCACCAAATCAAATTTGGAACTACAGGGTTTTTATTGAATGCCTGTCTTTCATCTGAATCTCCTTTCTCTAACACCAAGCATTTCTGTTTTTAAGGACACAGGAATAATAGAATTACAATATCCCACAACATCTAATTTGCTTTTCTCCACATTATATGAACAAAATAATAAAGATAATAGCAACAACACCACTCACAACGCAATCGGGAAAAGTGGCTTTTGGTTTTGTTACTGTCTTGAGATACAGGTAAATTATTTTTTAAAGTCTCTTGGAACAGTTCTAATCCATATGGTGGTTCTACAACAGGGATACACAGTTGGCTTCATTTGTTACATTGTGTTTTCAATGCCTAGAGATGAAATTTTTAAGCTTTCATTTAGTCTTATAATTATGTAAAAATGAATATGGTTTGCAACTCAAATCTAAACAAACAAGGTGTATTCAAAAGACTCTATCCTTGACCGTGAGA